GGGGGGGCAACGTCCAATGCCAGAAAGCCAGTCAGTTTCTACTGTTCATCTCTCTGCTGCCCCACTATTTGCCCTTATGTGGCACTGACTAGGACAGCCAGAAGAAGAATTAGCTGGAAGCTCGCTGCTTCATGTTTTCCTCCCTGCATCCCCTACCTCCTGTAACTCCTGGTAGTGCAGACTTGACCTCGTGAAGCATCCTGGCTTCCTCTGGCTCAGCAAGAATAGGGCGTACGTTGAGACCAGCACTCCTCCTAGGGTGAAGGCCTCTGCACTGAGCTCCAGCACCAGCAACCCTGTCAACTTCAGGAAGCAGGGTGAAGATGCTTGCGGGGGGTACAGCCCCTATTTTCTTCTGCCCTTTCTCCTCCCCTGTACCTTTGTCCTCATTCACCAGTACCTGGGAGGGGGGCAGTAGAGGCAGGCCCCAAGGCTGTCTTCATCAGCTCCATCACCACCACGATGAAGCCCAAGATCAGGTTGAAGAGGTTGGATATCATCATGGCCCGCACCTACCAGTGAGCCAGCTCAGCCCTGCCCAGCCCAGGGGACTCATTCCAAGCTCAAACTCCACCTACAACCTAGCTGAAAACAAAACTCAGAGGCAGGACTGCTGGTGTAGGCCTGTAATCCCTGACACCTGGGAGGCTGAGGCAGAAGGGTCAGAAGTTCAAGGCCTGACTGACTGGACTCCAGAATAGGTTCAAGACCATCCTGAGTAAACTTATTGGGGGCGGGGGGTGGTGGTGGGGGACAGGGGAGCTGGGGCTGTAGCTCAGGGGTAGTCTGCCTATTGTGCATGTGGCTCTGGGTTCAATCTCCAGCAAAACACACACACCCACACCCACATACCCACATACATGCACACACACACACACACACACTGGCAGAAAGGAAAAAAAAAAACTAACGAAATTCCGCTCCTATTTCCCTACCCTCTGACAGGACTATTAGCCCTCTAACACTTTCCTTTATTGCTTTGGTCAGGGACAAGCAGCTGAGAGGACCAGTCACTCTTTGGGTTGAGGGGTGTGTGTGTCTGTGTCTGTGTGTGTGTGTCTGTTGTGTGTGTGTGTGTGTGTGTGTGTGTGTGTGTGCACCGGGAAGTGGGGGGTGGGGCGGACAGGCCCGTAGTCTCCCCTCTCACCTTCCAGATGCAAGGCTCTCTTCGAAGCTCCAGGGTGATAATCCCAGTGAGGAGACCCTAAATGGTGAGAAGGGCAGTTTGTGAACTGGAGTCTTGTTAGGGAGGGGTCCCCCGGACCCTCCTTTCATTCTTGTGGTGGGTCTTACCGAGGCTCCAGGCCAGAGTGGCAGTGCTGTGGCCATGTGACAGGCAGAGTTCAGGCATGCAACTGAGACTGTGAAGGGCACCATGGTTACTGCCAGCCACAGCTGGCTCACCTGGAGGCCAGAGTTGGGCAATTAGAGGGGGGCTGTCAGGAGAGGCTCTTTCCTCTTCACCACGGTTTCATCCTTTAGATATCAGTAATTGGGATAAATGCACGGCAGAGGGAAAGTTAAAAGAGTGAAGTTTAAAAATTAGGTGCCATTTTTTTCTTCTGCCTCATTTTATAGTTTACTTACTTTTATTTTTTTTCCAACGGTGAAGGCAAGCTACTTGGAAATGAAGGGTCATCGCCCCCACCTCCCACCCCCTCAGCCTAGCACAGTTTCTGGCACATGGTGTGTGTTCACTGAATATGGATGGACTTGAACTCTGGGTATAGTTAGGCAAGACCTGAAACAGGGCAGCCTGGTCTCACCGCCACCACCAATAGGTGTCCACTTTGCCTGTGTCTCGCCCAGTGCTGTAGCTTTTCCAGACGAAGGCCAGGTCTCTCCTGCCTCGGCAGATCAGCGGTAGGATCCATGGTTCCCTTGACTCTTAGAGTGGTGCTTCCTGGATTGGAAAAACTCATTTTGGGACCGTTATGGGAACACACAATGTCTCTTTTGTTTACCCCTCTGCCCACTCCCAATTCAGAGTTGAGGCCCAGAACTTTACACCTACCTAGTCTGAGGCAGCCGCTCCAAAGGGTTGGGACTCAGCTGGTAGCTCAGTGCAGACAAGATTTTCCTGGCACATAGTCTGTCAGGGCTGAGGTGTGGTGGGGCAAAGATCACTATGAGGTCCTCAGGATCCAGGGAGTGGCCTTACGTAGACATCAGCCTCAAATCGCCCCACAAGCCACCCAGGCCTGCCTCAGTCTTCCCACTTCCTGTTACCCTGTTTCTCCCCCATCTTCTTTGAAGTTCACTTACTTCATCCCTATGTACATACTCGCCCTGGACCTCAGTCTCCCCTTATCTCCAGCCAGTCTTTGTCCTGTGGCTCCCTCCTCAAATTACCTGTTCTGCCCTAGTGAGATTCTGTGTTACTGTCTGGATTGCTCCTCCAGGAACTCTGTTTCCAGTCCGGTCCGCTTTCCCCTGGCTTTTCTGGACTGTTTCTCCTTCCTCCTTAACCTCTTTTTTTGATGGGTGGCACTGGGGATCCATCCCAGGGCGTTGTAAATGCTAGGCAAGCATTCTACCACCGAGCTAAATCTCCAGCCTTGCTCCTTTCTTTCTTGAAGGCTTTTTTTTTTTTTTTTCTGAATTGGACATTAACTAATTGATTAAATGGAGGGAGAGCCTTGTACCTAGTCCAGATTGTTTCCTACTCAGTGAAGAACACGTAGTTGCCCAAATGTTCAGTCTTGAAAAGGATACTATACCAACAGTGTTTTTGAGCAAAAAAAAAGGGTTCCTGTAGCCTGGGCTAGAATCTCAGTCCTGCCACTTTCCCAGGCTGGTGACCTTGGCTACATTATTGTGACATTATTTTACCTGTTTGAACTCCAGTGTACCCCTGACAAAGCAGAATTAGCAACACTATGCCCCTGAAGGGTAGCTGATTCCAGGGTGAGTAGAGCACCATTAATGGTGCGGAGGTCATACAGATGTGCCCACTGTCCATATTCTATAGGGCTTACTCAGGAACTAAGGCGAGGACATTTTATTTCCACACTAAGAACCAGCAGGCTTGAATGTATACTCTACAGATCAGTTATAGGAAAGAGCCTGAGGTCTCGAGATGAGACTACCTGTGCTGTGTAGTCAAGTTGCTTAATCGGTTTCCTTATCTGTAAGGAGAAATTAATAAGGCCAATCTCATAGGGTTACCTTGAGCATTAAGAGAAAACGCGTATGAATTAGTTTAGCCCAGCAAATGCCACATAAAAAAGTGGCTGTTATTACTTGTAATCACTGAAGATAAAAGAAAGAAACTGAGTCAGAAGATCCCTAGGAGTTGAGGCCCAGGAGAAAGGGGAGAGAAGTGGCTTTCCTCATGAGGCACTTCTGCCCTACTCACTGCTGAGCCAACATCACTGGAGCACTGAGTCCACGCTGATTTCCTGGGCACCGGGAATCGCAGTTTAAAGGGAACCAGACGTCTGTTTGTGCCTGGTTCCTCTCTCTTCAATCTCCAAGAGAGCTGACTTTATTTAATGGCAAGGTTGAGATGTAGGCCTTGCGATGAGGATCCCTGAATCTGCAGGTCAGTGGAAGGAGAGACCTCGAGCATCTTTTTCTTACCTGTAAATGGGAGCTTATATTAGAGGATTACTGGAAAGATCTCATGCTGCTAAATACGTGAACAATCATCGAGTAAATATTGACTAAATCTGAGTATGCCACTTAGGAGTGTGCAGCCACTGTTTGGGCTATAATCGCGTCGAGAGAAAGTATCACATCCCCCTCCCTACTCTGCATCTCCCCCAGTGTTGAGCACAGCGCCGGGTGCTTGGTAAGCACTCAGTAAATATTGTTGCATTGAAGAGCCATTAAAGTGTCTTAAAGAACGGAAAATAGAATTCGTGAAGCAGGAGCGAGAAGTGTTTATCAAGAACGGCAAAGGCGGAAGAGTAACTTTAATAATGTTTCTTGTACGGCAGACATTAACTATCTCTATAATCGCCCCTCCTCCTCTCCCAAAAGAGAGACAAATTGTAAGGGAGAGGCTTTGAGATAAAACCCCAGGAAGAACTTCCCGAGCCTGTGCATGTTGGGGCAGAAGCAGCGGCAGAGCCAACTCCTTCCCTGGTATGTCCGGGTCTAGGGTGGGAGGGGCAGTCCTGCTTGGAGGCTGGGGGAAGGACAAGATGACCTTTCACAGTCTCCTCCAGTCTCCTCGAGGAACGGTCTGCGCGCCCCACCCCCGCCCCCTCCTCCTCGCGCGACGCCCCCGGGCCCCCCCCCACCAAGGCCCGCACCCCCTGGCGGCCGCCTCTTGCCGCTCCGGGGGTCCCCCGGCCCGGGAGCCCGAGCGCGCAGCCCGCCGCGCCGCCCCCCGCATGCTAATGGCCGGGCCGCCTCCCGCCGTACACAATGCGGGCCGGGCCGGGGGCGGAGGGCCGGGGAGGGGCGGGGGCCGGGCCGGGGGCGGGGGGGCCGGGGCCCGGCGCATCTCCCCCGGCCCCACGTAACGCTGACGCCCGCGCCGCCGGCCCGCCGCCGCCGCCCGCCCGCCCGCGCCGCCGCCCGCCGGGGCTCGTGAGTAGCCGCTCCCCCCGCGCCCCCCCGCCGCCGCCCTCCCCGCCCCTCCCGGAGGGGGCGCGCGCGGAGCAGGTGCAGGGGGCGGGGGCGGGGGAGGGGCGCCGCGCGGCCCCGGCAAACTTCGCCCGCAGCTCCGGGGGGCGGGGTGGGGGGCGGCGGGGCCAGGCGTGAGAGTTGGGGGGGGGGCGCGCGCGCCCGGGGGAGGGGGCCAGGTGGGGGAGCCCGGAGCCCGGCACGGAGGGGAGGGCCGCGGCCGCGGGGCGGGGGCGCGCGGCTTTGTAGGGGCGGTGAGGCCGGGCGCCGCGGCCTGGGGTGCTGGGGGGGCCTGGGGGTGCGGAGGACGGTGAGCAGAGTGGAGGTGCTCCCCCGGCCCAGGTGCAGCCGGTGGGGGTGGGGGGAAGGAGCCCTAACTCTCCGGGACCGGGCTGGGCATGGGTGGTGGGGGGGGGGAGGGGAGAGGATGGGGGTGCTTCTCTGTGTGTCCCAAACAAAGTGTCACAAAGAGCTCGGCCCGCGGCAGCCGCGGAGGCGGCTGTAACTCCGCTTTTGTTCTCCTGGCCCGGGGTAGCTGAGCTCTGGCCTCCCTATCTCCCAACCCTGCCCCCATCGCCCTCCTGGATTATTTTCCGCGCGTGGAGTGTGGGGTGCGCTGGTGGAGTCCCTCGTGTGCGATCACAGGTCCTGCTCCGCTTGCCTACCAGTTTTTGAGAGGGATATTTTCCCAGAGGGTCTCCTACCCACCTCCCAGCCTGAGGACTGAGGCTCGTGCAGGCACAAACACTGACTTTTTATGGGCCAGCTCCAGTTAAAGGGACTGAAGGCTGTATATTTGCACCCCCGCCCCCCAATCCAGGCGCCTTCAGAACTTTCAGAATCGGGGTCAAGTTAGGACATGCTAGAACATGGGTCTAGGATAAGATTGTGTGTGTGTGGGTTGTACCTCCCTCTCACCTCTCGATAGTTATTTGGGAGCCCATGACTGAAATTTCATGCCCCCCTATCCCTTTTCCAAGAACTCACTCCAAAAAGGTGTCAAGGTTCAGTGTAGTGTGGATTTGAAGCTGCTCTCAGCAGTGAGGGTCAGGGAGCCATGGGAGACTCTGGAAGTGAGATGTTGGCATGTGTGTGTTCTCCAGGTGGTCTTGACTCTGGACAGTCTAATAAGCCCCTTTTCCATTTAATCTCATCTGTCGAAGTGGTTCATATTCATTAGCTAATTTAGGAGAGGGGAGATTGCCAAAAGGAAAGAAAAAAAAAATCATGTGTTGGGGATGACCAGAGGCAGAGGCCTACTTACAGCTAGGCCCCCGGGACCCTGATCCTTTGCTACTGAACACTTGACCTTAAAATACTTTGAATCACAAGATTTGGGGTGGGGGTTGGGGGAATCTTCTTGGTCCTTGTTCTGTAAGTCTTCACCCTCCGCCCCTCCGTAAGGTTTGGTGGTCCATACCCGCTTTGCCTCAGCTCTCCTAGCAGGTAAAAGTAATTGGCCTGTTGCTTTGGAAATATTTCTAATTTGTAACTCCGGTCCTGCATCTCTGCAAAAATACAAACAGGAGCAAGATAACCCCTGACTCCCTCTGGGTGTGGAAAGTAGGTCATTGCTACTCTGGCCAAGGCTCAGGGGTGGTGTTTAAGCCTTGAGTATAGAAAAATGTGAGGATTGTCCACAGACAATGCATGTCTGACTTGGGTTCCAAACCAGGTCACAGACTCTGTCTCTGTTGGTGCTCTTCCCTATTGAGAACAATTTATGAGATCTGGTGCCTGAGACCTGGTTTGATGGAGAGATACGGAAGCCATCTTGACTGGGCCTAGGAGGTCTCGGTGGATTTTCCTGATTTTAGGCCACCTTCTGGGAAACTGCCCCTGAGGAGAAATTCAGCTTCCATTTGTGCCTTCTTATGTGTCGCTGCTTTCTGGAAACTGCTACATGCAAAAGTGTGGGGTTTGTTGTTGTTCAGGGGAGGAAGCCTTGCTCTGTTTCTGCTCTTTTTGCCTCAGGTATTAGGCCATTTTCCTATGAGACATTTTGCTTGGTGTTTTACAGGCAGTTTTAGAGGCCCTAGAATCTTCTCAGGATCAGAATATGTGCCCATAGGTTAGTCAGCTATGACCATGCAGTATTCACACACACACACACACACACACATACACACACACACACACACCCCTCCCAGCCATCTGCTTCCTCTGAATATACCAGATTGGCTGTACACCAGGATGTTCCGGGAATCCCCAGGAAAGCAACAGAATGTGATGGACTCAAATACGATGCCTCAGTAACTCATTCCAGGATGTACAAACTGTAACTGTTATGACATTCTGTATAGCTAATTAAAATTTTTCTAGGTATGTGTATTTTCCATTCTATTCTCAATGACATCCAAAAGGCCAAAGTAATTCCTCTGATACCCCTCCATAGCTTCTCTGATACTCCTCCATAGTTCCCAAATAGGACTCGCCCCCCTCCCCCATTCACTAGTTTCTGTGTCCTCTCTTTAGTGCTAAAATGGCCAATGTGGCCTCTCTAGCACTTCCTAGCTCTGTCTGTGATACCGAGGTAGCCAAAGTGGCCACTCTAGTAGCCCACTGCACTCTCCATGGTACTGAAGGAATGGCCATTTGTTTTAACTTCTCTTTGGGGGTGGGGGCAGAAGAGTCTTGTGACTTAAAACCACACAACTTTCAAGTTGGCAGGGACTACAAATGTAAATTTATTATAGCTCATTTCATAGACGGTAAACTGAGAGTAAGTGATTTACCCAAGGTTGTAAGACACACGCTTACAATAGCCTTGTACCCCTTAGATCCACTCTAATTCACCTTTATGCAGTTTTCAGTGAGCCTGGCCAGGCTGTTGGTCCCAATTAAGGGCTTATTTGGAGGCTTCATGGGACAAGCATGGATGCCTGAATCTCGACCTACAGAAACACACATACTAAGTGACGGTGGTTGTCTAGTGATGCTTGGGCAGGGCATTTTGTAATTTATCTGTTAATGCTCTCAAAGGTCAGATTCTGCATGTAACAGGTGTTTGCCCCCTCATAGAGTCTTGCCACATCCACTCAGTGTTGAAAATTAAAGCTTTGAACCCCAGACTCTTTTCTTTGCTGATAAGCAGGGCTAACTCCTGACCCAGTTCGCTTCAATTAAAGATTTGTAAGTAAAGTAATGCTTGAGTCCTTTTCTTTCTTAGTAACCCATTTCAGTTTCATAATTCTCATTGTAAGGAAGTTCTTTATCAAATATTATGTCTGAGGTTTTAAAAAAAGAAGCTAGGCCCAAGTTCATTTAGCCTGAACAAGACACAATTCTACATGGAAGGAGGAAGGTAGATGGGATGAGATGACTTCTGGTCATCCCCTGAAGTCTAATTCCATGACCTTGTCAGCGGTGAAATATCAGGAGAACCTCCCCTCACCACCCTCTCCCTCTACTCTCCTCTTCCCTGCCCAGTACAGCACTTGTCAGGGATAGGGAATTTTAGATGGAGAATTTTAACCCCTTCCTGCTCGGAGCATGTGTGGATCCCCCTATCTGTGCAGATGGCAAGGCCCCGCCCCCCGTCCCTCACTCCAGCCTCTTGAGCTCAGAGCCAGTGTAATCCTCCTCTTGTGTGAGGAAGCCTCTCCCCTGCAGAGAGGAGGAAAGCCTGCCTCGGAACAGCTCTGGACAAAGGGGCTGAGATGCCCCATCAAACCACAGCCTCCAAGGTTTGAAACGGGGTGAAACCTAAGTGGGATCTGCAGTTTTTAACCCCTTCCCTAGGCTGGTAGTGCCCCTTAACTTCCACGCCTCCCCCAACTCTCTTCATTCCCTCTGTAGCTGGCTCTCCCTTCATGCCCCTCCCCCTCTGCCTCCAGACTCTGCTGCTGGGAGGTGTTTCTCTCCCATGCATGAATGAGTCTCTGTAATGAATGGAAATGAATGGATCAGGAATCCAGGAAGGGGGAGGGGGAGGAGGAAAGACCAGAAGACTGGTGCCGGCAAAAGCAAGGAGGAGGGACCTGGAGGGATTTTGGCTGACTGGCCCCGGGTCTGAGAGGAGCTGGTCCCACTTGGATAGCAGGAGTATGGCTAGCCCTCCACATTTGTTTATCCCGTGGCACAGCCCAATGCAAGTGGAAGAGGGGTATACTATGATGGCCTCCCACATTGTGTGTGCGTGTGCGTGTGCGTGTGTGTGTGTGTGTGTGTGTGTGTGTGTGTGTGTGTGGTGGTTCTGGACTAGGGGAGGAATTCTGGGTGTGTCATACAAATTGGCAGATGGAGGGGTGCAAGTTTTGAGGACAGCAGATAGGAAGCATGTGATGCATCCAGATCCAAGCAGGAAGAAGGGACGAGTTTTAGGAATACAGGCTGCAAGGTGGGGCGACTTTACTGCTGAAAGCCAGGGCTCACCTCTCCTCCAATCAATCTGTCTTGTTTTAGCACCTCCGCACCTGTTGCCTTCATTAGCAGCTTTTCCTTCCTCCTCCTTCCAATCCTCAGAACCAAAGAATGTGAAGGGGGTCCATGGAGGTGAGTGAAGCTCTGTCCCTGACCTGCAAGTACCTTCAACGGTACCCCCTCTCCTGTCTACGTTTTTTACTTCCTATTATAGTAATGTATGTTAATAACTTGGTCCCAGTATCTAACTTCCACCCATCCCACAACTTCTGGAGGTGAGAGGCACCAGTGTACCCAGGCCAGGCCCCAGCCTACTACACACTCTTAGTTTCCATTCTTCGTGCCCTTTTCCATAGATCGGCCCTTTCCACCCTCTCCTCTACGTGCATCTTTCCCCACAGGGCTCACGTCCCCGCGTCTTGGTCGGCCACCTAGAGCCTTCCCCACCAGCCTTCGACGGCGAGCTGGATCTGCAGCACTACTCCAACGGACCAGGTGTGAGCGCCGGGTCTCCTGGGATGGGAGCAGTGGGCTGGACTGAGACTCGTGCAGGCGAACGGCGCTTCCCCTGTCCTGTGTGCGGAAAGCGCTTCCGATTCAATTCCATCCTGGCTTTGCACCTGCGAGCCCACCCGGGTGCCCAAGCCTTCCAGTGTCCACATTGTGGCCACCGCGCAGCGCAGCGGGCTCTGCTGCGCTCACATCTCCGAACGCACCAGCCCGAGCGTCCACGAAGCCCTGCTGCACGGCTGTTGCTGGAGTTGGAGGAACGCGCCCTACTACGTGAAGCCCGACTGGGGAGAGCCAGAAGCTCAGGGGCCATGCAGGCTACCCCTGCCGCAGAGGGCCTGGCGCGCCCTCAGGTTCCTTCCTCGTCTGCCTTCCCTTGCCCTTTCTGCAAAGGCAAGTTTCGCACCTCGGCGGAGCGGGAACGCCACCTGCATATCCTGCACAGGCCCTGGAAGTGCAGCTTGTGCAGTTTTGGCTCCAGCCAGGAGGAGGAGTTGCTGCACCACAGTCTGACGGCCCACGGGGCTCCCGAGCGCCCCCTGGCGGCTACTTCTACGCCCGAACCCCAGCCTCCACCTCAGCCAGAACCCAGATCTGCCCTTGAGCCTGAGACTGAACCTGAACCTAGGCCAGAGCCTGAACGGGAGGCGAACCCGGCGCCGACTCCTGCACCTCCAGAGGAACCCCCTGCGCCACCTGAGTTCCGATGCCAGGTGTGCGGCCAGAGCTTTACGCAGTCCTGGTTTCTCAAGGGTCACATGCGCAAGCACAAGGCCTCCTTTGATCATGCGTGCCCCGTGTGTGGCCGCTGCTTCAAGGAGCCCTGGTTCCTTAAGAACCACATGAAGGTGCACACCAGCAAGCTGGGTCCTTTGCGTGCCCCGGGGCCTGGCTCTACGCCTGCCAGGGCCCCTCAGCCTCCTGACCTGAGCCTCCTGGCTTATGAGCCACTGGGCCCTGCGCTCCTCCTGGCCCCAGCACCCACCCCGGCTGAGCGCCGAGAGCCCCCGAGCCTCTTAGGCTACCTGAGTGTACGAGCTGGGGAGGTACGACCCAATGGTGAGGGTGCCGACCCTGGAGCTGGCCGAAACTATGGAGGATTCCGCCCGCTGCCTTCAGCTCTTCCCAATCGGGCTCGGCGACACCGCACAGAGGAACCGGAGGAGGAAGAAGAGGTGGTGGAGGCGGAAGAGGAGAGCTGGGCCCGGGGCAGGTCGCTGGGCACTCTGACTTCCCTGCACCCCCACCCAGGTGAGGGGTCAGGACAGTCCGCACCTGCCGTGGGGGCCCAGGCAAGATCCACGGTCACCCAAGGTAAGTCCACACTATTTTCTCTCTGGGTCGCCTGCCTGCATTTGGTTCTCAACACGTAGGCTACCACTCCTGTAGTTCCCTTTTCAAAAGACCTGTCTTCGATGCCTTTGGGGCTTTTTTTTTCCCTACTGGGAAGCCTTGTGGCTTCCTAAGGGTTTTAACTCTTTAACAAATCTATGTTCCCCCCTAAACCTCTCTCCTTTGGGGCCCAGAGAGATGGTGGGTATAATGGGTACCTGGCCGGGACAAGACAGCGAGACCCTATAACCAACTTCCTTTTAACGTGTTGCAGAAGAAAATGGGCTGCTGGTTGGAGGGACCCGAAACGAAGCGGGCCGTGGGGCCACTGGCAAGGATTGCCCCTTCTGTGGAAAATCTTTCCGCTCTGCGCATCACCTGAAAGTGCACCTCCGCGTGCACACAGGTGAGGGAAGCATTTCTCGTGGGGGTGGGGGGTCTAGGAGGAAGAAGGGTCAGAGCAACCAGAAGGCTGGAGGTCGTGCTGGGCAGCTTTCAGATTCATCTAATCAGTGTTTGCTCCTGGGCCTTGGGATGAAGTTTGTAAATTGAGTGAAATACCAGTGTGTGTGTGTGTGTGTGTGTGTGTGTGTGCGCGCGCGTGCGTGCAGTGATAGTGACCCCATGACCAACTCTAACCCACTCTTTCCAGGTGAGCGTCCCTACAAGTGTCCACACTGCGACTATGCCGGTACCCAGTCGGGCTCACTCAAGTATCACCTTCAGCGTCACCACCGAGAGCAGAGAAGCAGTGCAGGTCCTGGGCCTCCTCCAGAACCCCCGCCCCCTTCCCCGCGGGGCTCAGCCTCACTGCAGCAGCAGTCGGGAGCCAAGCCAACTCAGGCCTCTGCCACCTGGGTGGAGGGCACTCCAAGTACCCGGCCTCCGAGCAGCACCGGACCAGGGTCCCGTAGGAAGCCTGCCAGCCCCGGGAGGACCCTGCGCAACGGGAGAGGTGGTGAGGCTGAACCCCTGGACCTGTCCCTACGGGCAGGCCCGGGAGGTGAGGCCGGGTCAGGGGGTGCCCTTCACCGCTGCCTCTTCTGCCCCTTTGCCACTGGAGCCCCTGAGCTCATGGCCTTGCATCTGCAAGTACATCACAGCCGTAGGGCTCGGGGCCGCCGGCAGCCCCGAGCTGACACGTCTCCGCCCTATGTCCGAGCAGCGTCGGGAGAGACGCCTCCCAGCCCTCCACTAGAAGAGGAGGGCAGTCCTGGGCTGTCTAGATCTGGAGAGGCAGGTCTTGGGGGGCAAGAACGGTAGGAGGGAGCCCTCTTAGGAGTGATTAGCTTAGTAAGCTTACCCCGCAGGAGCGGGGAAGTGCTAGAGGTAGTTGGGTAGAGCAGCCAGCAGGGAGCAGTGTGGGACCCGTATCCCAGCCCAAGGTGGACCAAGAGGTAAAGTGGGCAGTGGGTGAAGGAGGGTGGGCCAGCTGTACCCACCCAGCCCAGGGGAGTCACAGTGCCTTAGAAGTGGCAGAGGGGAGGGTCAAAGAGCGGGGTCCTAGGGCTGGTAGAGGATGTGTTCCTGGTGAGGAGCTACTCTGCCAGTTTCTGCTGGTCCATAGGCATGAGAGTTTATTTTTGTATAAGGGGTGGGGGTGGGGGGCACTGTACCCTTCTAGCCCTATCAGGGGCCCTGTAGACGTTGCTATTTTTGGTACGATTCCTGTCATCCCTGTTGAAGAGTCATGTCCCCAATAAACAGGTGTCTTGAGGCACAAGGCCCTGGTGTCCTGCCTGTGTTTTGCTCTCCCTAGGCACTTCATTATCAGTGAGCTTGATAAGGATGCAAAACTTTGCTTCACCTCCAGACTTCAGGTTCAGTAACTCTGGATGGGCCCTAAGAGTTAGCACTGGACACAGGTAGCCTAAGGGATTCTCCTGCACCGTGGCCTGAGGACATCACTGGACAACTACTGGATTGTGCTGGACCCATCTGATCATCCCAGCCTCAAGAAGAGGGTGCAAAGTGGAGGAGGAACTTCAAAGAGTTCATTGAGCTTCTTAGAGCCTATCAGTTTGGGGCCAGTAAAGGGTAGAAGAGTTACTTCCTGGCCTGGGTTTTACTTTCTGAACCCTGGTGAGCGCTCATAGGGAAGTACTCAAGTTAGTTCAAGCACCTTAATCCAGAGACCTGCTCTGGGCCTTGGGAGGCAAAGTGAGAGCAAATACATTTAATATAACAACAGTGTAATAACAGTAATTACATATATAAAGTCTGCAATGCCCACCCCATCTCCTTCAATGGCTTGTAACACTTCATTTCCCATGATACCCCAGAATGGAATTCCATTCCACCTGGCAGAGATGAATCTTCCGGGAGAGTCGGGGGGGCGGGGGGGGGGGGGGGGGGGGGGCCGGGGAGGGGGGGGTGAGAAGAAAAGCAGAGCAGTGGCCTGCGGCTGTGCAGTAGCACAGGATGAGGGGACACTGGAAGGGGGATGTTTCCCTGCCCCCAGGGCACAAAGGCAAGCAAACAGGGCCACTCCGGTTCCTGCAGCAGAAGGCACCAAGCAGGGAAGAGCTAGAGACAGCAGTGAGAGGGGACGCTCTGGTCCTCGCCCTTCTCTCTGTCCAGGAAGCAGAGAGGGAATTGAGAGCTTAGTCCTCCATCATGTCCCATTGGCATATCAGCCTAAAATGTGCGGAAAAGGGGCTGCAGCCAAGTTCTGGATCTTCTCTGGAAGCCAGGAGAGAAGAGGGAGATGGGTTGGGAGAGGCAAGAAGCTGACTCCCATGCACCTGAGGTCAGGAAGGAAAGTCCTTAAAATAGGGGAAGGCATGCTGGATGTGGGAGAAAGGGGGTTGCTGACTTACCAGGTCACAGAGGTGTGGTGGGGTCACTCAGGGCTCGGGAATGACTCTGAGGACACAGAAATTGCAGGGTGTTTAGACATGCTCTCTATTGTGTATGTCTCTTAAGGCTTTTTTTTACCTCTGACCTTGATGCTTCTCAGCCAGGCCTAGGGGAGAGGAGAAAGGCAGACTGGATAATAAATCCAATCTGTGGCATCAGCTGAGAGTTGCAATATCTAGTTTCTCTACTCCCCAATTTGTCAAATGATCAGAAAAGCCCACCCAGAAAGAGAGCACCTGCTCCCAGCCTTATTGCAAGGACTCACCTGCCGGGACAACCCTAAGATCCCTCCACTGGCCAGTGTGGGAGTGCTGCTCCCACGATGCGGGGGATGCAGGCTGGGGCTGTTTCTTGGTCCTGGGGACACATCTCCAGAAGAGTCAAGTGTTTCTGAGGCTGGAGGGGAAGCTAGGGTGAGAGGAAGGTATAAAACCCTTCCAGGTTACCTTAAACAAGCAAGCTCCTCCGGCAAGGAAGAAGAAGCTCCATGGCAACAGGAAGCTGTGAGTCACCATAGCAATCCAGTTGCAAGAGAACCCCCCTACCAAGAGGCAGGAAATTGTCAGCAGCATCATTAGAGCAACCAGGGAAGAAGCGACAGGAAACTAAGAATTGCCGTGGTGAACCAGGAGGGTACAACAGGAAGCTGAGGCAGTTTCCATAGAAACGCAAGGAGAGCTAGAGAGAAAGGTACAGAAGAAGTGCTTCTTAGCAAAAGGCTGCTGTAAGCATCTCCCTAGCAACCAGATGGAAGGCTCTTTTAGCAACGGGGAAGCTGTCTGTAGTTGTCATGGCAACTGGGCTACTTGGCTAGAAAAAGGAATTGCTCAGCAATAGGCAGCCTGAACATCACCATGACCCAGCGGTTGGGGGCCACCCCTTGAGAGGTGCCTCACCCAGGGAAATCTGCTTGACGTCCAGATCCCAGGCCTCCTCCTCGACGCGGGCAGGCAGGGAGCAGGCTCCCGGTGAGAGGCCGGGAAGGGACGGGCCAGCATGCTCAAAGGAAGATACGGCTACGGAGGCCCGGGTGCGGGCGGCTGCGGAGAGTGGGGAGTTGGGGTGGTGGGGTGCTGGTGTGCCAAGTCCTCCTGGCTGCCTGGAGTAGTTCACAGAGGGCTTCCCAGGGAGTCCCACATTTGGGGAGGACCCACTCGACACTCAGTCTCCTTCCTGACATCTCCCCGCTGTCGTTCACATCCTTAGTCAGGGCCTGACTTCTGGGAGCACCCCCCAGCACCCCGGGCCTCACCTCTTCCAGTGAGCAGGGCACTCAGTGTCCGTTCCCCGAGGGCTTTGATGTCCAGGAAAGGTTTGTTCCCAATGCCCATGGAGACCATCTGCTGCACGCGGAGCTCTAGGGAACAGAGAGCCTGCTTGCAACCTTCTCTTGGCCCTCCTGCCTGGGTGTTAGCACGTCCCTGTTGACTCTACTTCCCAAGGCTGTTTTCCTCTCTCCCAACTCTTGACCATGCCTCCCCTTCTGGTGTCTCCCCTTCCTTGACTCTCATGGCATAGACTGTGAGGGTGATCTTTGACCTCTTCAGACATGCATCTGTTCTCTGCTATATAGTTCGTCCTGCCCGTTTGGCCTCCTAACCACCCGGTGTGTGTGCGTGCGTTTGTACACCCGATGTGGGTGTGGATGGAGGCGCGAACGTTGAGAGGTTAGAGGACACGTTAGATGTTGGCTGGTCTTCACTTCCCACCTTGTCTTAAGGCTGATCATCCTAATCATTTTGGTGGGCATGTGCCAGGCTGGCTGTCTAGCAAGCTTCTGGGGGGGAATTTCCTGTCTCAGCCTCCCATGTGCTCTGTAGCAGTGAAGAGTTTACAGGCCTTCCTGTTACTTACTACATCTGCAGTACTGCTGGCTTTTATGTGGGTCCTGGGGATTTGAACTCAGGTCCTCACACTTGGCATCACGAGCACTTTTACCCAGTGAGCCATCTTCCTGGCCAGTTACTTTTCATGGAACACTCAGTCTCCCTTTATCGTGGACATTAAGAGCAAAAGCCATGCTTTTGCATATCTGTGTGGTTTATAAAGTGCTTTTCTATCTGTAGCGACCTACTCGATCCTCCCTACCTCACTGAGATGAAGAAAGTACTGTGCCTTTTTCAGATTAATAGAATGATTCAGAGAGTTACAACAACAACAAAAAGCCCAACCCAGTGCCAACCAACAACAAAGAAAAGCTATTAGTCTAGGTCGCACGCAAAGTAAGTGGCACCCATCCTTGACCCCAATCCAGTAAGCAGTTCTGCACCTCTTTCTGTGGAAACATTTGCTCTTGCTCCTTAGAAATGTCTAGCGTTCTCTTTCCTTATGGCTAGTCCTGTCTCAGCCGTATCTCTTGAACCAGACTTTGAATCGTCTCTGAAGGCCTCTTTTCTAACTTTGAATCGTCTCTGAAGGCCTCTTTTCTACCATCTCCATACTCTCCCGAAAACCTTCTCATGGACTCCGATTCCAAGTACGGCCCCTCTACGATCGGCCATTACCCTTGTTGTGGGCCGCCTGTCTCCACAGCAGCTGGGCGATAGAGCTTGTCCACTTGAGTTTGGTCTCTGGTGAGGTAGCCTGCAAAGTGTATGCTTCTCGTGCCCGCCGCCGCCGAAACCATAATTCAAAACAGAGTCCACTGTCCCCAATGTTTTCGGTCAGCCCCATGTCAGCAGTCTGCGGAAGGGGGGGAGAGAGAGGGTTGAAGATGGAGATGTTAGGTGGCACCACACTGACAAGCGCTATGTTTAGCTTGGTAGGTGTTCAGTAAACATTTGCTCAACATCTGTCAGATACCAGGCGCTCTACACAGTCTGCGTAACAGAAACTGATTTACAGAGGGGAGAAGGAGGTTCACTGAGACCTGAAGCAACTTCCTCAAGAGCTTATCCGAGTTTCAGTAAGGACTCAAACCCATGTCTGTATGCCATTCCAAACACAGACCTTTTGCTCTGTCCTAGCTCTGAAGAGTTGGAACTAACACAAAGACAGTTTGGAAACCTTTAGTGTCCTTCCACCTGATCCAGGACTGTGGGTTGCTATGGATGCTTATATCTGGCTAGATGCCCAAAACAAGGCCTGCCTCTTGAGTTCTATTTAGTTCAGTGAAATTAAGGTGTGTGTATGTGTGTGTGTGTATGTGTGTGTGTGTGTGTGTGTGTGTGTGTGTGTGTGTGGTATTCTTTCTCCTCATATACCAGGGACCACCTCTAACTCAAAAGACCTATGTGTTTTTTGTTTCTTCTAGACAGGGTTTCTTTGTGTAGCCCTGGCTGTTTCTAGAACTCACTCTGTAGACCAGGTTGGACTGCAACTCAGAGATCCACCTGTCTCTGTGTCCCAAGTGCTGGGATTAAAGGTGTGTGCCACCACCACCCAGCAGACATATGTATTCTCATTGGGAACGTTTTTGTTTTTTTGTTTTTTTTGTTTTTGTCATTCTGTCTTGAAATGCCTTCTTAAGTCTTCTGCATGAATTATATGGAAAACTCAAAGGGTTTTTGTCATTGACCAATGACAGGGATTTCTTTCACCTTCTGACACCCTAAAATTGATGACCAATTAGAGGCCAAAAACTGTTTTAGGTGATGAAGATTCTGAACCTGTTTTGAGTTGAATTTCCAGAACATTCTGAGTTCTGATGATGACCATGGTTCAGTATCCCCACTCCACATTGTGTACCTTGAAAGCCTGCTTGTAAACGAAGGTCTCAGATCCTCCCTCGGAGCCCTTGAACTTGCTGAACAAGAGCAGGTCCTCAAAGAGAAAGACATGGCGGAGGCACTTTTTCCGGCCACAGATGACAGTGAATGGGTCCCGATGCAAGAGCTGTCCCTGTTCCTTCAGATCTATCTGGAGAAAGGAGAAGGAAAAGCTGGTCCAGGGGGCCGTCGTGTGAGGTTATGGGATGTAAGGGGTTTAGAGGGAAAGGGGCCTAAGGACTGGCTGTTGGCAGGCTCAGGAAGTCAAGGGAGGGCCTCACCCTAAGCCTCTGTACTGCTTCTCATACACAACTGTCTAGCAGCAGTCATTCCTCCGAATAAAAGATGCCCTGCGTAGCAGTACCCAGCCAGGCATGGGGAAGGAAGTCTTTGCATACTGAAGATGCAGAAAGAGAACTGGCAAAGAACGTGGGTAGGTCTGTCTAGACCAGTGGTCCTCAGCCTTCCTAATGCTGAGACATTTAATGCAGTTCCTTATGTCATGGTGACCCGCCCTCCCCCCCCCCCCCCCCGCCACCATAAAATTATTTTCATTGCTACTTTATAGCTGTTTCTGATGGTCTTAGGAGACTCCTATGAAAGGGTCATTTGACCCCCAAGGGGTCCTGACCCACAGGTTGAGAACCACGGCTGTAGAGGGAGTAAGTACAGTTCCAGCCCGATCTGGAATCAGTGTGGGAAAGAGATTAGGTAGAAGAAAATACAGTATCCAGAAAGGTAGAAGCAGATAGGGAAGAACAATTAGGAAAGGAACAGATAAGCACAAGGCAGATATGGGAAGAGCAGAGGGTGTTTGATATAGACGAAGCAGCGAAGAGCCAGACAGAGCCTGAGACCGGGTACGGCTTTACAGTCACCAGCCTACACTGTTTCTAAGGCCACAGAGTCACACAGTTTGAGCAAGAGTCCGTGGAAGCCAGGACCTCACCTCGCAGCCTCGCACAGCCTCCACCGCTAGCAGGTCTCTGCCTCGGGCCTCTTGTTCCTGGAGCAGTTGTACAGCAGCCCTGAGGGCCTGGCGCTCGGAGCTCAGCTCAGGCCCAGCTTCCCTCAGGAGCTCCTCCAGGAGTTGTCCATACCGAGCCAGCTGCTCCAGGGGCTGTTGCAGGGCCCGGGGTAAGCAGGGGCTGCTGTCCATGGAACCCTAGGGCGGAACCACAGCCAGGGATGAGAAGAGGGGCAGGGCTGGTAGGAGCCAAAGTCTGAGGACGGGAATGTGATAGGCTGGGTACAGGCTTTGGGGAGCAGAGGTAAAGAAAGGGGCCTGCAAGACGGCTCAGTGCGTGAAAGGTGCTCTCCACTAAGCCTGACGACCTGAGTCTCATCTCCGGGACCCACATGGCAGAAAGAGAATTGACTCATGCAGATTCTCCTCTGACCTCCACATGGGCACCACAGTGTGTGTGTGTGTGTGTGTATGTGTGTATGTGTGTGTGTGTGTGTGTGTGTGTGCAAGTATGTGTGTGCGTGTGCGCACACCCACCCACCCCAATAATAAAGACGTAAAAATAATTTTCTTTTAAAGTAAAGAGAAAAAAATGCAGAGGTCAAAGAGATGGCCCAGAAGCTAAAGGAACTTCTCACCAAGCCTGGGAATCAAGTTCCATCCCTGGGACCCAGGCGGTGGAAGGAGAGAACCATCTCCTGGGAATTGTCCTATGACTTCCCCACACATGTTTGGTACACACGTGCATGTACACACACACACACACACACACACACACACACACACACACACACACAAGTGTAATTTTAAAAAGAAAAGAAAGCAGGCAGGGGGTGGCTAGGAGATGCAGCCATCCTGTGTTGAAGGGAAACCCAGGTAATAGCCACTTATGCCCCCTGACTTTTACAGTCACATTCACATCTTTTCACATGAAATCCTTGGACCCTCAAGCTCCCAGTGAGTTGTACAAAGTGCATACTGCCCTTGTTTACCATCTATAGAAACAGGCTTGGGGCTGAAGAGAGGGCTCAGCAGTTAGGAGCACTTACTGCTCCTTCAGAGGAACTCGGTTCAGTTCCCAGCACCCACCCAGTGTCTCCCAAGCATCTTTAGCTGCAGTTTCAGGTGATCTGACATCCTCTTCTGGCGGCCTTGTGCACTGGGCACAGTGCACTACACATACATACCTACAGGTAAACAGTCACCTGCATACGATAAAAATAAATCTTAACAAAATGAAACTAAGCAAAGCAAATAAACAAAACAAAAGCAAACCAAACAAACAAAAACAGAGGCCCAAGAAATCAAGAATTTTACCCTCATTCCCTTATGTGGGGCATCTGGGGAAGAGTCCAGCCTCCCCTGGCTCTCAGTGCAATGTTAGGAAACCCTCCTGTTCCCAGACAGCAGTCTGGGAGGTTACTGGAGATTTTTGGTGAATGTTCCTGGGTACATCCATGAAAAATTGTTCTCTCTGAGAGTTCAAGGTGGGGTGAGTTTTTAGGTCTTCCTGGTCCTTTCTCTTAAAAAACATTTTCTCATTTTACTTATTTGTGTGTGTGTGTGTGTGTGTGTGTGTGTGTGTGTGTGTGTGTGTACATGCACGCACAGTCAGAAGACAACTAATTTGCAGGAGTCACTTGTACCGTGTTTCTAGGCTGGAACTCAGTTGTCGGTCTTGGAGGCAAGCATCCTTACCTGCTAATCCATCTCCTTGACCCACTTTTCTGAGAGGTGAGGAAAAGTTTACCTTGGCTGAGGGGGTGACTGCAGCCAGACCACTCTCCAGTTTGTGTCTGTGCTTCACGAACTGTGCGTAGAGGTTGAACTGGTCCCCCTGTGCCAGTAAGGAAGAGGTAGTGAGTGTCCCTGGTGAGGGACCTGTGGACACTTCTCTTCTCCCATTCCCACTGCCCAAGGAGGGGTAAGCAGGCAGCACTCTGCTTGCCAGGAATTATAAAGGCTCTTTGAGGGGGCTGGAGAGATGGCTCAGCGGTTAAGAGCACAGGCTGCTCTTCCAGAGGACCCAGGTTCAATTCCCAGAACCCACATGGCAGCTAACAACTATCTGTAACTCCAGTTCCCTGGGATCTGACATCTTCACACCAATGCACATTAAATAAAGTTAAATAAATTATTCAAAAAAAATTTTTTTAAAAAGGCTCTTTGAAGAGACAGTGACGTTCACACAATTGAAGACAAGTAACACACCGGCCAAGGTGAGGGACCTTGCAAGAGGGAGAAGAGTGGGGGGCGGGGAAGTGGGGGTGTGGGGGGCAGACCATGGGAAGGGAGAAGATCTGGAAGACGTTTAGTGGACTGCTCACATGGCGAAGGAAGCAGGCCCCAATGCGCAGGGGATGGGTGGTGCAGCCCTGCAGCTCTTGTAGAAAGTGCGTCCCGTGGAAGCTGCGGAGTCTCTCTCGGACACTCAGGGCTGCGGCCCAGGTGCATCGGAGCTCAGGCGTCAGCTCCGGCCCGGGGGGCGGCACTGGCTCATTCAGAGTGGCTATGTATTCTTGCTCACAGGCAATCAATTCAGACACTAGACGCTGCTGGGCACTGTAGGCACAAGCAGAGAAGCAGAGGCGTCACTCGGGCGTGGAAAAGAGTCACTACCACCAACAGTATAATCTTCTTTCCCACTTGCCTAGTAGACAGCAATTGGTCTGAACTCTCACCTGATGCTCCGTTTGCGCTCCATTCGCGGGGTACCCAGTCCCCAGGGCCCGTCTGGCCCTCCAGCCCGACCCAACAGCACATGTTCTCGGGGCGAACACGTCCTGTCTACCACTTCAGTACTGGTGACCTCCAGGCCTCGGATCAACACAGCCCTTGGGGGTCTTCCATCTGCTTCTGGAGCTAGCTCAAGGCCTTCCTCCTCATAGTCCTCCCCACACGGGGTCAGAGAGCAATGTGATGGGGCTGCCCGGGGCCCAGGGCTGCTGGGAAGAAGCAGGGAGCTGAGGCTGGGTGAAGGGCTATGGGCTCCATGCTGGGGGCCCGTGCTGCTGGCACTGTCCGCCCGTCTTCGTCTGTGGCCTCGAGGACTGGCCTCCTCTCCCAGCTGCTGCTGAATCCTCCGCTCCAGCTCTTGGCAGCGTGCCCGGCATCGGCCCCATTCTCGAAGGACTGCTGGGCTGCCCAGGTCCAGGGCCAAGGCTCGCATCTCCTGGAAGGTGCCTGCACTGGGCTCCGGGGCCCGCCGCAGGGCTAGGGCTGCCAGCACAGCTTCACGACCCGGCCCGGCTCCTGCCAGCCGAGCAGAGCCCTCATCTACCCATTCGTGTGCCTACAAAAGCCAGACAGGTTGGAGGCAGAGAAAAAAGGTGAGGACACGTGACACCCCCAAACACATATGCCGTTGCCAATGGCTCCCTGGGGGCCATCACCTCCCTGTCCTCCCCCTGCCCCAGCATCACAGCATAACCATGTGACTCGGAGATGGCATGGGCACAGAGGACACACACACAGCACTGAGTCGGGTTTGTACTAATGGCTTTCACACAGTGCCTCACCCAACTTTTCACAGTAGATGTGCAAGTGTCTACAAAGGCCCTACCTCAGGTCTCAGGTCACTCAGCCTGGGCAAGCCGAAAGTCAAAGGCAAGGGGATGGGCTTCCCAGGGACCACTCTTAGCAACTGCCTGACCAACTCCTCCGGGCTGAGGAGGAGGCTCTGTACCCACCTGCTGGAAGAAGCGCTGTAGCCGCAGAGCCCGGTGGAGGCCGCTCTCAACCTGCTCCAGTCGTTGTTCGAAGATATCCAGAACTTTCTGGGAGGCCATGTCCTCCTCCAGAGCCAAAGCTTCCCGGGCCTGGACGAGGCGCTCCTGGAGAAAGGGGGTCTGTGCTCAGACCTGGTCCTCTCCCAGGGACCCCGCCCCCAACTCCTCTCTGTCCTCACCTGCACCTCGGTGCTGAAAGCCCGGAATCGCAGTTCTGTCTCTTGCAGGACTGAGAGTGAGTTTCCAGGCGTGGCGAAGCTGGCCAGCTGCTCTTCCCCTGGGCCAGAGAGCCACTGTAACACCTGAGACAGAGCAGAAGGCTGTGAGGGAAGGGGAGGTTGTGAAGCGGCCAGGCTACAATGAGCTGCCATCACCCCAATGTACAGAACCCGGGTCATCCCGTTTTGTCTCACTGGGTGCTGTGGGACTGATAACAGTGAATGATAACAGCTCCCACAAGATTAAACGAGAAACAGGGTATGCCATCTTTGGTAAAGTGCCATATGAACAGGGCTGGCAGGAGACACAGGTTATTGTGCCAGGGGCAAGGCCGGCATGAGGAAACAGATGAAACCCACGTGAACCAAAGGAAGAAGGATGAAGGTTGCTTGGATAACAGGACCCAGAGGAATTCCACATCCACTGTGCCCTGCTGAGTGGTGAGCAGGAAACCTAGGCGCCAAGCCCAAAGGATGGCCCAGGAGATGGTGTGTGTGTGTGTGTGTGTGTGTGTGTGTATCCAGTTCAACTTTCCTACGATAGGGAATCTCCTACTTGTTCTGAAATGTTTGACTAATTTTTTCCTCTAAAGAGAGTCTGGAAGCTAGGGTGGAGCGGCTGGAAAATGCGAAGTCTCAGAATGTTCCTAAAAGCCAGTGCCAACACCAGCCACTTTCAGAGTCCTCTGCTGACTTCATTTCCCACCCATCCACCTGTGTGTTGTCCTATTTGTCTAGGAATGGGCAACTCAGCAGCAACATCCCATGCCTAGCAGAGTTAGAGCGCAAAGCTGACCACTTGAACTTCCAAATTCTGTTTTCAAAATAGGTTTTTAGATGGGCAGGGATATCTAATCCATAGGAGAGACCCCCTGGGGTGGGGATGGAATGGCAGGAGCCAGCAGGCAGCCCCAGAACACAAAACCCTGGTTCCCCTTTAGCACTGACTTTGAGATGACCCTTCTCATACACACACACACACACACACACACACACACACACACACGGGTCCATGGGATATATATTCACAGTACTAGGAGCTAAGGAAAAACAACCAGATTTTAAAGTCCCTCTTCCTTTCACAGTGCAGAGACAGCCAATCCCTACAGGGCTTAAGTCCAGAAGAGAAGAATCAAGATTCAGAGAAGCCAGTCTTATTCTTGAGTCTTAAGAGGCCTGTGGTTCCTCTCAGTGACTACCAATGTGTTCTCCAAAGTAGGAGGAGAGACGGGGCCGTTTTGCCTCCGTTTTGGAGGATGATAATATGGGGAGGCAAAATGTGGAGCCAGAGCACTCTATCAATAGACATTTATGATCGGGCTTCATGGTTAGACCCTTAATCCCAGCACTCTGGAGGTAAAGGCAGGAGAGTGAGGAGTTTCACGGCCAGCACCAGCTACACAGTGAGTTCCAGGCCAACCTAGGCTACATCAGATCCTGTCTCAGAAAACCCCCAAACAGAAACAAAACATTTATTATCTTCACACCAAGGAGGTTGTGCCCTGAGCCAACCAGCTGATTCCAGAGTTCCCTCTGGGTGGTGAACACCTCCCACAATATCTAATGATCCTGACCAAAGACAGACAGAAGGTTGACCTCGCGGCGGCTTCCTTGGGCTGGTGCTGACATGCTCCTGCCCTCATGCTGAATCTCACACTTCTGTGACCAACCTCTAGGGGATGCTGGAGGGAAGCTGGAAGGATATCATCCAGGCTTGGTGTCAGCAGGGATGCAGTGAGGCAGGAACTAGGCTCCCAGGCTGAGCAAGGGTATGGGGGCGGGAACCTCCTCACCTGCTGGAGCTGGCGCAGGCGTTGGTGTTTTTCCTGCTGCTGCACTCGTAAGTTGGAGAGACGCACAAGTTGGTGAATGGCCTCATCTACCTCCTGGTAGAGCACAGCTGGGCCTGGACCCTCAAGCCTGGGGAAAGGCGACATTGAGTCTCTGCCCTCGCCAAGCTTCCCAGTTCTGTCTTTGTATCCTCAGGGGTGCAAACACCAGAGGTGTCATGGCAGCGAGAATCAGACTTGCACCATAACTCCCCTTACTGAATCAGCTTGGCTGAGATATTTAGTATCTCTGGTCCTCCGAGTCCACATTTGTAATCATAACTGGCACACGGGGATGCTGTGAGGGTTATAAGTATAAAGGCACGCTATCTTGTCCAGAGGAGTGCAGAGTAAGAATTATCTGCCACTTAAGGTTTAGGACCGCTCTCCGCTATCTCCCCAGCATCTGCCTCCGCACACCCGCCTCTCGTACTTGCTGCTATGGGTGGAGCGCAGCCGCATCAGGATGGCTCCTCCGGTCCTCTGCAGCGCCGTCAGCCGAGGATCTGCCAGCACCTTTTGCAGGGGCTCAGGCATTCCCACTGCCTCCTTGGGACAAGCAAACACATCAGGAGTTTCGCTAGAAAGTGCCCACCCCAGCCCATCCCTTTCACACCTACCATTATTCCATCTCATTCCATACCTCTTCCTTTGGTTCTTCTGCTCCCTCGAGCTCCTCAATAGCCTGCCGTACAGAGGTCAACACACCTCGGCACAAGCTGCACAGCTTTGCCACTTCCTGAAACCCACATACGGAGATGGAGTTAAGGGACGGCATTCAGGGTAAGAAATATACCGGGCATGGCGGGCCTTTCTTTAATCCTAGCACTTGGGAGGTAGAGGCGGGTGGAGCTCTGAGTCTGAGGCCAGCCTGGTCTGCATAGTGAGTTCCAGGACAGCCAGGGCTATGAAGAGAGACTCTGTCCCCGAGACAAACAACAAATAAATAAACATAACCCACAGGATGGAGATGGGACTCCTGGAGACTTTTGTGGAAATAATGCTAGGTTTACTTTCTGACTTTGTTGCTTCCAAGTTATACAATATTGGGCAAGCCCAAAAACTCTAAAATTCATTTTATTCAATAGTAAAGTTAGAATTAGGTTTTTTGGTTTTTTTTTTTTTGGTTTTTCGAGACAGAGTTTCTCTGTGTAGCTTTGTGCCTTTCCTGGATCTCGCTCTGTAGACCAGGCTGGCCTCGAACTCACAGAGATCCTCCTGCCTCTGCCTCCCGAGTGCTGGGATTAAAGGAGTGCGCCACCACCACCCAGCTCAAGAATAGATTTTGTAAAGTCGAAGGAAATGATATTAGCCTGGCACTGAGCACTGTCGTGGCCCACGGCACAGCTTAGCATGTGAGTTTCCTTTGCCCTCTTCCTCTGATCTTCACTCCGCCCGGCCCCGCCTCCAGCTCCTCACATCTGCTTTCGCTAAGAACTCGTGTTTGTAGTCAGCTGTGAGCTCGCCGACTCTCTAGTCTGACTCCCTACACTTAGGGTCACAGAAGCAGGAAGGTCAGTGATGCAGATGCATTTGATGGGTGAAGAGCCTGCACTTTGTGGATAGTGGGGTAGGGAGCAGGTACAGAAAGGGCACCGTCTCTAGAAGTGAGGTAACGTAACTTGCCAGGCGCCATGGAACCAACTTCTCAGCTCTCAGCACTTTCTAGAAACCCACGAAACTATCACAAACACTTCTCCACTTACTTTATGACATCGTAATAGTTCCCACTAGAAAGCATACGTTACTTAACGTCATTATGAATAATTTGACAAACTCGGGGGGCAGGGAGCTGGAAAGATGGCTCAGAGGTTAAGAGCAAGTATTTTTCTTCCAGAGGACCCAAGTTTGATTCCCAACACTCATATGTAGCTCACAACTGCCTGTAACTCCAGATTGAGGGGTTCTGATGGCTCTGGCCTCTAAGGACACCCACACAGGTGGCATTTACTCACATAGACACACAGACATATATACATGCTTAAAAATAAAATAAATCTTAAAACATTCTAAAAGAATATTACAGCGGTGGTGGCGCACGCCTTTAATCCCAGCACTCGGGAGGCAGAGGCAGGAGGATCTCTGTGAGTTCGTGGCCAGCCTGGTCTACAGAGTGAGATCCAGGAAAGGCACAAAGCTACACAGAGAAACCCTGTCTCGAAAAACCAAAAAAAAAAAAAATTACAAATTTGTGTGGTAACTGGAAGATGGTTCACAGGTTAAAAGTACTTGTTGCTCTTGCAGAGGACTGGGTTCAGTTCCCAGTCCCACACGATGGGGCTTAAAACCTTCTGTAATTCCAGTTCCAGGGGACCTGATGCCCTCTTCTGACTTTTCAGGCACCGGGCTCATGTGTGGAGCACACACATATATGCGGGTAAAACATTCATACACATAAAATAAAAAAATAAAAAGAATTTAACAGTCTTCCCGTCTTCCCAATGGCCAGCAAGACTTGTTCAAGGTTCCTGAGTCAGAACTATTTTCTGAATTTAATGGAGCTGCATCTTCCCCAGCCCCAGGGTCATGTCTGTCTTTGTCTTTTCTCCTAGATTTCCAGCTCCCAGGTTCCGAGGTGCTGAGGGGGCTTACCTGGTGTATCTCTACCCAGTGGTCGGGGGAGAGGTCCCTGTGACCCCCTAAGTCCGACTGCAGCTCCTCTGGCCTGGCCACCCTTTTCAGGTCCTTCGCTGACAGCAACTCAGCTCCCTGCAGACATGGAAGCAGGGGTTTTCTGCACAGGCGTCTTGTGACTCAGACCAATCTGAGAGATCAGCAAGCTGTCCCTTCCCTTCCCATGACTGACAGGGGACTAGCGGGAAAGAGAGCCTACCTGAAGTCCACAGAGCTCAGCTGGAGGGTCTTCATGGGTGAGAATCACCAGCCGCTGAACGAGCGGAGGGTTGCCTGAGTCCTAAGTACAAAGAAGAATGTCCCTAAACTTTGGAGAGTTAGATGGCCTGGAATGGCTGCCACTGGAGAAAAGTGAGGACCTAGGGGACATGCCTGTCTCAAGGAGTTGTATTACCTGAAGCTGACTTAAGGCTGGAATAAGTGCTGGAGGCAGCGGGGGTGCCTTGCGAAGGTCAAGCAGGACTGTTAGCCCCAGGAACTGCAGGTCAGGCCTGTGGAGGCAAGGAGAGTCGAAGGTGTGTGTGTGTGTGTGTGTGTGTGTGTGTGTGTGTGTGTGTGTGTGTGTGTGTGTGTCTGTGTGTGTCTGTGTCTGTGTGTGCATGAGAATTGCGGGGACAGCAAAGAGAGAACAAGGAAGAAAGAACACAAGTCTTCTGACTCAGTGCTGACGGTCTTCAGAAGTCAGTACTACTATATTTGGGAAGCAACGAGCAAACGGTCGATGTCTGGGACACGTGCCCAGTAGGCAACCTAACAGTCAAGAACCTACATTGACACAGCTATTGGGTTAGAGGCCTGGAACTCTATGTGCTGTTATGGCATACATTCAAGGCCTTAGCATCTGTCTGATAGGCACTCGGTGTCCACAAAGTATTTGCTGGATGAAAGAGCCTGTGCACTGATAATCTGGGCACTGGAGTACCGAGAGAGTCGGCAGTGGTGATTTTGAAGACCATGAAGACTATCCTGGAAGTCAGAATTGGTAAGATCAAGGTCCATGGCTTGAAAATCTGAGGGTTGACGTAGTAAGCCAGCCAGCGCCTTGAGAAAGAAAGCAGGTCTCCTGAGTCTGCACGCTAATGCCCAGGGTGAAGTCTGCCATGCTTACCTAAGCAGTGAGTGGAGGTAACGAAGGGCAGTGTTCAATGTCTCCTGGGAGGGTGAGGGCTCCTCAAGAAGGCACGGGGGCGGGGGCGTGATAGTCAGCAAAGCTCTCCCAGTCTGGTCGACCCCTCCTGAAGACAGAAAATGGCCAGGGTGTCCTGGCTGGGACAATCTTTGACTACCTCCCGTCCACCTCCCCTCCTTCCCAAGTCCACTTCAATTGTTCCACTTTCCCAAAGCCCTTCCCACCCACTCGTGTGTGTGTGTGTGTGTGTGTGTGTGTGTGTGTGTGTGTGTGTGTGTGTGTGTGTAGGCCAGAGGTCACTGTAAGATCTTTCTCAATCCCTTTCCACCTTATTATTTTTTTAAGTTTTTTGTTGTTGTTGTTTTGTTTTTTGGTTTTTGGTTTTTCGAGACAGGGTTTCGCTGTGTTGTTTTGAGACCTGTCCTAGATCTCACTCTGTAGACCAGGCTGGCCTCGAACTCACAGAGATCCACCTGGCTCTGCCTCCCGAGTGCTGGGATTAAAGGTGTATGCCACTGCTGCCCAGCTAAAGATATTTTTTGAGGATTTATTTATGCTTATTTTATGTGTATTGGTATGTCTATGAATGTGCCAGATCCCCTAGAACTGGAGCGGTAGGCAGCTGTGAATTGCCATGTGGGTGCTGGGAATTGAACTCAGCACCTCTGGAAGAGTAACCAGTGCTCTTGACTGCTGAGCCATCTCTCCAGCCCTCCACCCTATTTTTTTTTTTTTTTTAAAGACAGGGTCTCTCTCGCCGGGCGGTGGTGGTGCACACCTTTAATCCCAGCACTCGGGAGGCAGAGCCAGGCGGATCGCTGTGAGTTCGAGGCCAGCCTGGGCTACCAAGTGAGTTCCAGGAAAGGCGCAAAGCTACACAGAGAAACCCTGTCTCGAAAAACCAAAAAAAAAAAAAAAGAGAGGGTCTCTCACTGAACCTGGAGAATCTCTGGTTCAGCCTGACTGGCTGGCCAACGAATGCCAAAAATCCACTTGTCTCAACCTTCCCCTTTCTTTCCAGCACCGGGGTTACAGATCCCATGCCATGCCTAGCTCTTATGCGGATGCTGGGGGTCTGAACTCAGTCCTCCTGCTTGCAAAGCAGGCATTTACCGACTGACCCATCTCCCCAGCTCCTTTCCTTTTGTTCGCAGATGCCCACTGACCAGTCAGAACGAAGAATCCAGATGCCATCAAGTCCCAAGCTACAGGTGGGTCATCCAAGATGGAAACTGAGGGAGTCTCTTCTGGGATGCTGTCTCCTTTTACATCCGGCACAGTCTCCAGGGGCTGTGTTGGGGGCTCGGATGGGAAGCACCCTGGACCTGTGGATCCTGTGCAGATAGAGGCAGAGTTACTCTAGTCTCTTCCCAGCCAAACCACAGCTTCTCCTCCAGACCCCTTCCCTAGGCCCGGCCTGCCCTGGCCCTTGGTGCCTGGACCCCACTGTCCTCTCACCTGTCACACACACCGGTACCAGCACCTCTTGTTCACTCTCTCTGATGCCCTCTTCTGGGGGCCCACAGTCTTCTGGGGGTGCAGGCTCTTTTCCATCTGCGGGCTTGAGTTCCTCTTTTGATTCAGACGCTGGCTTCCCAGAATCCTCTTTCTCCTTAACCAGGCTGCATTCTGCAGGTTCCTGTTCACTGAGTGAGGAGGGCAGACTGACAAGGACTTCCTGCTGCCTAGTCTCTTCCTTGTCCTTGGGGCTGAGCGGGGTACTCTCCCCTTTTACAGCACCTCTGCCAGCAGCTCGCTTCTTCCTTCTGTTTCCTTTGCCTGCTCTTCGCGGGGTACCAGGTGGTCCTTCAACCCCTTGGCCCATTCCTCCCCCAGTCTCCCCCGAGGGGAGGCAGGATTCAGCGGCCTCCCCCAGAGCCTCTGCTGGGGGCTCAGATGCCTCCAGGACCGCTGCATCTGGGTCAGCCTCAGCTCCCGGGGGTGAGTCAGAAGAGGCCCCAGTACTACTCCCTTCACCAGGTGGGCGTGCCCCATCCTGGTCCCGAGACCCCAGGCCTTTCTGGTGCATCCATGCCCGGTGTCTCCGGTGCCGGCCCTTCCCTCCGGTACTCTTCCGGGTGGGTACTGTGCGGGTCCTGGAGAGGCCTGAGGCCTCAGCGTCTGTGGGGCTTCCCCTCATATGAGGCAGCGTCACCTCCAACAGTTCCACATATTCACCCTCTGGGCCTTCTGCAGGAGCGTTGTGTCCATCCCCAGGACTCCGGGTCCCCAGCACCTCCTCAGGGAGTGGAGAGCTAGGAAGCCTTGGAGGTCCAGAGGGCAGTTCTGGAGGCAGTGTGCTTGGCTGGTGGCCAACCATGAGACCCTCTTTGTGCACAAATCGCGGGCAGATGAGCTCAGCCCAGGGCAGGCGCTGAATCCCAGAGGGTGCCGACAGAAGACAGGTGCTGAGGCGCCCCGTTGGCCGGTCCTTGTTAATGCCTTGCAGCCACTCAGGTGTGAATAGGTAGGCACAGGCTTCATTGGGCACTGGCAGCTCCTGGACCCGTCCACCTCCTGGGGCCAGACATTTCAGTGCCAGGCGGGGAGCTTGGGCTGCCGAGGGTACGACCTGCAGGTAGAAGTCGCCAGGGCGCAGCAGCTGCCAGGGGAGGGCTGCTAGCTGCACTACGACCTGTTCATGCAAGCAGAGTGGCCAGCCCTCATGGAAGAAGAGAAATCCACTGTACTGGGCCTGGAGGGAGAAGTGAGAGGCTCTGCTCAAGGCCTCTGCTGACGAAACCAGCAAGGGGTGGGGGTGGGGGGGGGCGCTGTGAGAATGAGTCCACACTAGGCAGGACTGGTCTTATGTCGGGTGGGTTAAAACCCCTAGGGGACAGGAAAGGAGATCACCACGTGGCAGAGGAAAGAACCCAAAACCGTTGATCCTTTGGTGGAAGGAAGCTTTCCTAGAAAGCTAGCTGTATATGTGGGAAGGTAAGAACCCCCGTCATTACAGCGATCTGGTCAACAGATGCCACTGTCTTGGAAGAATCAAAGACTGTTGGTCTTTATGGCTGCCGGAGTGAAGACTCTCTCCTGAATCCCATCTGAGCCTGAGGGAATACCTTAAGACATCCACGAGGAAGTAATGTTTGAAACTTGCTCTGGAAAAGTCAGGGTCTTTTAGGGGGAAGTCAATGTTTGTTAAGGGTCAATATTTAAGGAAAATAAATATACCTGCATATGTGTTAGTGTTTGAGTAGTCACAATCAGTGGGAGGTCGGCAAGTGAGACCTAAGCGTTCCTGTGGAGAACAGGATTGGGAAGCCTGTGTCTCTAAGTGGGAGGAAATGAGCCTGGCAGAAAAGGGTTGACAGCCACTCACACAGGCTTCCTGCTGGACCTTGGCAAGCAGGTGTTTAGCAGGTACCAGGAAGTCCAGCGTGTACCTCAGCGCATCCTCCTGGTAAGTCCTCTCCACCACCTGGAACACTTGGCCCAATAGGGTTGGGGCTGTGGCTTCAAAGGGTGGATACAAGGCAGCGAGTGTGCTCTGTACACAGTCCTCCACCGGCTCAGGCTCCTGGGGGAGACAATACCAAGCTAGAGATAACTAGAGACTACACAAGCATGGCTCCTTGGGAGTCGGCTGGTCTGCAGATAGCTATGTAGCATAGGAGCACAGTGGCTAATCAGAAAATGCTGGCTGAATGAGCCAGGGGGTAGGAGTGAGGGCCTGGCCAGTCAGTGCATACAGGCTTACTTAACCACGGCTTCACATTGAAGCTCTGAGACTTTGGCTTTAGAGATCCAGGGGGAGTTTGTTATGCACGACTCTGATCAGGGTTGTTCCAGGTACTTGTAAACTGGGGTGATTGCATAGGTTCACCTGGACAGGCTGGGCCACTGGACCCAGATGATGGCCAAGGATTCTGGTAGATGGGGTGGGGTATGGGGTTTCGACATAGCCGCCATCTTGCCAATAGATTCTCCCGGAACTCACCATCCAGGTAACTTTATCATAAGTGGAGGTGTGCCCACCCACAAAACACTGCATCCAAGAGATGGCTGAGTGACAGGTGGGAAGAAAGGAGACAAAACTGTGGCCAACTCAGGTCTTGGTAGCATCCCTTTCTTCCATTCATAAAGCCTGCCGGATTGGCTATCACGAATTGGTTGGAGCCATTTGAAAGAAGATAGAGACATAAATGAACTCTTGGAGAAGAGAGGAGGAGGTTTTGATGCTATGCATTCCAGTCGAATTTTACCTGGACCCACTGTCTCAAAGACTAAGCCATGTCCAATTCTGACCCACTTCCCTAAGTGAGTCATCGGGCTATCTTTCTTCATCTCATTCCCTAAACAAAATCCCTTAGGTCTATTTCTTTGCAAGTCTTTCAGATGGCTTTTTTTTTTTTAAGTTCCTTTGATCAGACGTCTTCGTTGTAAATGAGGAATGGGGCACTCTGCGATATTTACCGAGCTCTCTGCCCATTGCAAACAGCCCTGGTTTCACCGCAGAACAAAAATTGCTTATTTTACTTCTAAATCTCTCCAGCCAGAGTTGCTTAATCCTGGCTGTTTGAGAAGATTAGGGTATTCAGTCACCCCAGAGACCAGCATTCCGTGTTATCAGCGCACAGACTCGGCCCCAAGGTGTGGGCGAGCAGACAGACCCTCAGTGTTGCCGGGACTGTGTACGTGGGTGGGAAAAAGGGTAGGGGTGAGGTTGAGTGGGCCTCGGCTCTGAAGTTAGGATCCGGGGCGCTCCAGCTTAAGCAGCAAAGCAGCTGCAACCCATTAGGGGCGGTGAGCTCATGGCTGAACAAGAGTCGCAGCCACAGGAAACGGCCTCAGCAGGAGGGGAGGAGGGGTCTGGAGCAGGCGGAGGTGGGCAGGAGCCCAAGACACCAGGCCTCTGGTCGGCTGGGACCAAAAAGAGACGAGCGAGACTGAGTCAGCTCTCACTGGCCTAGTTCCTGTCTCGCTCCAACCCCCTGAGCAGGGTGATGCCTCCCGGGCTTTCTCCGTAGGCATCGCCCGGGCTGGGCCTCTCCCCCACCTCCACTCTGCAGTGAGCGCGGTAGGCTGCACCCGCCTGGGCAGTGGGCGCCCTCGCTAGCAGAGCCCACTCCTGCCGTAGTTCCTCGGTGCACTTCTGGCCGTAAAGTTCCAGGCTTAGTGTTCGATCCCGTTGACATGGGCTTCTGGTACCCTGAGTGGCTGCTCCCGGAGCCTCTGCCTCATGCACAGGATTCCATCCAGTTCCCTCCCTGCAGCGGCGTTAAGCCTTGGGGAACTTTGTCCCAAAACTCTGGTTTTGGCTCTGGAAACGTCACGCCCACTGGTACTGCGGAACACCCCCTACCCACCCTTAAACAGCCCCCTTTCTGCGAGGGAATTTCCCTTTGGACGTGCCCTCTGGCCCTGGCCCAGCCACAGCTGTGACTTGTCCCTCAGGGCCGGATGGGTGGGCCCACCTCACCGGGTTGGGGACAGGGATGGAAAATGGTGGTTCCAGGCAGGTCAGTTCTCATGACCCGAGGCAGTGCCCTTTCCAGGGCTGCCGCCACACCAACTCGCAGAGGGTCTCCAGGAGTGGAAGACTGGGATGGAGTAGGGGGAGGGAAAACCCAGCAAAAGAAAACTGGGTAGGACCGGGAAGGCCGGGGGAGAGAGGGGTTGGGCTGTGTGCAAAGACCACGAAAGGATGGGGAGGCAGCAGAGGAGAAAGAAAGGGTCACGGCAATCGCCCGGTGGGGACTGGGCAGGCAGCGGGCCGGCAGACAGAAGAAAAGAAGGGGGGATGGTAGGGTGGAGAGTCTCCGGGGCGCCGAACAGCAGCGCTAGGCGGGCACAGGAGGCACGGGGCTGGGGGCCCGGAGCGGGCTGCGCGAAGGCCGAGGGGACACGGGGGTGCGACGCGGGACTCACCATGGCTGGGCGTCGGGAGGTGTCCGACTCTCGGGCGGGCGGGCGGGCGGGGCGGGTCAGCCACCGCCTCCCTCCCGGCGCTCAGTCTCGCCGGGTCTGGCTGCAGGACAGCTCGCACCGCGGCCGCGGCTCTGCCCGCTCGCTCGCTCGCTCGCTCGCTGGCTCGGGCGCCCAGGCCGCGGGGCCCCGCCAGGGAGGACCGAGACGGCCGCCTGCACCGCCCCGCCCAGCCCGGGACCCCAGCCGAGACGCCCCCTCCGCCGCAAGCCTCGCCTCCGCTCCTCTAGCTGTCCGCGGCCAGCCCGCCCCGCCCCGCCCCGCACCCTCCGAGAACCGCCCAGCTGAGGACGCCCCGGGTTTCCCGCGTCTTCTCGCTCTGCGGGATCAGTCCAGCCTTGCGCTCTGGGCTCTGCAGCGGTCTCCCTCCTAGGACCAAGGTTGTCGGGGGGGCCCGAAGCCTTCTTCTTCCATCTCTTAAGACTCATGACGCTTCTCCCGTCCGTGGCCAGGCTTGGGCCAGGTCCTGGGGCCCAGATCGACCCACACGCTTTGGTTCCCTTTAGATAGAGCTGAAGGCAGAGAAAGTAGGGGATTCCCCCCCCCCCCAAGCCTTGGACGTTTGCCCGCCCTTCTTCCCCTTCCACCTTCTTGGGTCTCGAGCCTCCAGGCAACTACAATGGGCTCCTGTGTGCTGCTTGGGTAGGGCGGGGGGATGTGGGGAATTACGGAGAAGTAAAAGGCTTGGCATGGGGGTGGGGTGTCCGTGCCCCGGGATCAGGATGCTTCGTAGGGTCTGGGGACGTTTTCCGAGTTGCTCCTCGCTGCCTTTTTCTGAACCTTACACCCCAGCCGCTCTAACGAGAGAGGAGGGGAGGCAGCAGCTCCTTGCTTGGACGCCAGGCTTTGGTACTGATGCTAGCTAGATCTTTCTTGTCGCAGGCGATAGTGGCCCACCACCGCTAGGGCTCTTGGCGGTGACTATTATCTTAAACTGCAGACAAAAGGAGCCAGGTTCCTTTAAAAAGTTCTAGCCTCACCCCTTCTGCCCCACCGACAAACAGCGAGTATGGCGAAATGAAGACCGGGTGGGATCTCCTAGAAGGGACGGGGGTGGGGGTGGGGGTGGGGGTGGGAGGAACGAACCTCAGCACAGCAGGGGGTTACCGTGCACGCCTCTGAGTCACAGCGGACTGGTCCAAAAGGTGGACATTTGGGAGGCGATCTGAAAGCTACCCAGTTCCCAGAAAGGGCGTGAAGGCATTGTCACCGCAGGTTGAGGGTGAAGTTTATTTAGGAGATGTGTGGTAGTGGATACAGTCCCATGAGGCTGCAACGACGGTGCCCGGGGAACAGCGGGGAGGAGAGGAAAGGGTGACAAATGATGCTTCTCACCTCAGGAGAAACTCTGCCCTTTCTCCTCTGGATCTGGAAAAAGGAGAAACTTAATTCATAGGGATGGGAAGAGCCCTCTGGTTCCTAGGGTTAAAACAGAATCTCGGGAAGGGAAACTCTGTGACCCATCGGCTAGAACCGCAGGGATGGAACTTTTTCCAACCTTCCGGTCAAGCTAGACTCGCCAGTTTCCCTGTAATTAGTGCCCAGGAGCCTGGAGAGTGAGATTTTGCTACCCCCTGGTGTCTGCCGGTTAAATCCTGCCCAGCAGCAGGCTGTAGAGGCAGGCCTTCCCTGGAGGCTTTCTTAAGGGATGTTCTATGATCCTTACTCATCACTGCCCCAAATCTAGCTCACCTATTCTTGGTCTGGAAAGATTGAATCTTCCCATTTGGAGCTTAACATTCCTTGTACTCAAATCATTTGATAGAATCCAAGGTTCTCCACAGCTAGGTAATGGGATATAGACACACACAACAGAAAAAAGATCCATAAAAAGGTTTTGAACTGGTGGGGTGAAGGAGTTTGGATTTAGGTTCTGGGATGCAAGCTACCCCTTCTTTCCAGGAGTTTCAATACATGGTGTGTGTGTGTGTGTGTGTGTGTGTGTGTGTGTGTGTGTGTGTGTGTGTGTGTGTGTGTGCTTACAGTGGTTAATAGCCCTTTCTCCATAGGCATCTCTTGCCTACAGGTGTGTGTACAATGTAATCTGAGTTGATGTGTGTGCTTTTTGATAAGTGCAGTGAAGGGGTAAGGTTAGAATCAGAGATAGGGAAGGTATCAAGCTAACAGGCCCTCTCCTGCGTTACAGATACTTTTCACTGTGGTTTATGTATTTTGTGTTCTTTGGAACTTAGCAATAGTGAATTTAATAGCAATAGTGAATTTAATCCCTAAGAAGTTTTCTGTATGGTTCTAATGGAAAAGTAATGCTATGCATAGTGTTCTCCTAGTGTGTGGGAAGGCAGAAGGAACAGCAGTGTCTGTAATGTTTATGGCCTAGTTAATGATATGCAATGAAACAAAACAGCCTGGCTATTGAGAATTGGTGCTTTAGGCTGCTCACTAATGTTTAGCCACCTGGAGAGAAGCTGTGGTAAGGGGTCACAGTTCTGTACCCTCGTGTCAAGAGGAAATTGAGGGACCATAAAAGCGAATTTTAGGATCAGATATGAAAGAATATGTTCTTGTTTGCTGTGTCTTCCAAGGAAACCAGGTACTAACTCTTCATTGTTTTAGGATAAGAAGATATAAATATTAGTTCTGTTTGGGTTTAACTTTTCATTTCTTTTGGCTTTTATTTGATTGATAACATTCCTTTCAATGTTTATAACTCTGGGGCTGGAGTGATGGCTCAGTGGTTAAGAGCACTCATTGCTCTTGGCCGTGGACCTGGGTTCACGTCCCAGAATCCACATGGTGGTTGTAACTCCAGTGCTAGCAGATCTGTTACTCTCTTCTGACTTCCATGGGTTCCATGCACACACGTGGTACATACACACACATAAAACAAATGAATTTATTATAACTTGTTTTCTTCCCTGACCTAGGTGCCGTCAAAACCATACCATGAATTAATGCCAGTACATCAGTTTCTTTACTGGCCTACTGACCCTGTTTTGACCTTCTGATAAGTCATTCTCTGCACTCTGAATGAAAAATTTTAAAATATGAATCAGGGCCCATGAGCTGGCTCAGTCAGTAAAGGAGTTTGTTGCCAAGCCTGTCCCCCAGGCCCACATGGTGGAGGGAGCCAGCCAGCCTCCTCAAGCTATCCTGTAACCTCCACATGTGCACATGCACAAATAAACAAATAAAAGTAATAAGAAGGTTGGGGATTTAGCTCAGTGGTAGAGCGCCTGCCTAGCAAGCACAAGGCCCTGGGTTCGGTCCTCAGCTCCGAGGGAAAAAAAAAAAGTAATAAATAAAAATGCAAACCAGGGCCTGGGAAGGTAACTCAGTGGTCAAACACTTGCCTAGCATGCACGAAACCTCAAATTGTACCCCCAGTTTGACAGAAAGTAATTAAGTAAAAATCCAAGTCAGATCTTGGCAACTCCTTGTAACAGCTCCACGTGTAGCTGGTAACTTGTTCACAGCCTCTCCAGGCTCTTTGCTACCCACGCTGAGGTGTGGCCAGCCACTGGAGACCCTCCAGCCACAGTCACTCTCCAGTTCTGTAAACATGACTTGCTCCCCTGTCCTTCGGGCTTGTTTTTTACAATTTCAGTGGTTGGCTCTCATCCTTTGGGTCTGTATTAGAGTATTGTTCTCTCAAAGCTCTTCTCTGACATGGTCTCTTACTCTATTAGTCACACTATTCATATCTATCTTACTAGATATTTCCTGGTCGATTTATTCCCTGTCTCTTGCTTAGACAGACCTACCCCCCCATCACATAAAATCTAAAAACAAACTGTGAAGTTAGGAATATCAGGGTTTTGGGGGGCTGATCCTTCCTGACTAGTGTCTGACCAGCCCTTCAAAGATATTGTCAAGCCAGGTGCAGTTTGTAAAGAGAGCAAAAATGCCCGTGGAACCGGGACGGAGGCAGGAACATGGGAAGAGCAGAAACTGGTTAGGGATGGGAGTTGGAGGCTTAGGGTCAGTTGCAGATCTTTCTCGCTCTCCTGAATTTGACCCTCACTGTTTTGTCCTCTTCAGGCTGTTTCCAAACAGGAGACACACAGGACAGAGTTAAAAACAGAAGGGTACATCTGTGGGTCAGGTGTAAGTTCATTGTTTTATGCGAGTTGGAGAAGTCATGGCTTCAAGGCTGGCCTCCAAAGGCCACCACTGCCCAGCCGAAGGCTTCTGGAGACTGCAGATTTAGTTACGGACTTGGTGGGTATATGAGCACATGAATCCTTTTATATAGTTGTACTCCATTCATAATGTGTTTAGGCAATGTGTTTAGGTGTCTTGCATGTATGTGTGTCTGTGTAACCACATGCACGGTTGGCGGCTGTGGAGGCCAGAAGAAGGTAGATTCTGTGGAACTGGAACTATGGATGGTAGTGAGGCACCATAGAACCTGGTCTCTCTGGAAGGGCAGCCAGGATGCTTTAACTGCCGAGGCATCTCTCCAGCCCCACATTCAGTTTCTCCAT